GCAGGCCCCACTCCTCATAACACTACCGCAACCACTACCACAACCACTGCCGCAGCCTCCACTTATAGCTCCTTTTGCTGGTGCTGCAATGTTTCCTTTGGTAGCCTCCAGGTCCAACGGCATTCCCTTCTCTGCCTCAGATTTCAGATTAGCTTTGTTGCCTTCTTCATGGCTCATGTCAGTTTCTTGAGTTGAAAAATCAATCTCTTTGGAATGTTTGGCACTGCCTACCAGGCTACTATACCCTTCCTTCCTCAAAGTATCACAAAGTACAAAAGCTGTTATAGAACCAGGCAATAGGAACCACTCCTCTTTTACCTGATTTTACAAGGAAAATATATTTCTTAGATAGATGTGATTCCGCGAGATGAAACTGGAACAACAGTATAAACAAATAGCTTACATGGATAACTCCAAATTTCAAGTCAATCAATGCCAATGCCTTTCCATAAGGGTCCTGTGCAGAGAACTCTATAGCTGTTAAAAAATCATCAGGACTCCTTTGCTTTGTGCAAGGCTTGTGCTCATAATCCAGCTTCTGACCAGGGAAGAATTTCACCTGTACAACATATGAGTGCGGAAACTGTTAAGTCATGGAGAGTCGGAACAATGTAAACTTTTGGAATCATTACGAATTATGGGTAACAGTGAACAGATTTAGCTATTTCATGACTTTGAAATAAGTGAGTAAATGAGAAGCTGTACAAGAGAACTTTAGCCGCAATACTCATTCATAATATCGGAAACACAAATTCTTGAAATTGCTGAGAGGCCACAACAATGATGTTAAGTGTATAGCTTTACGGTGACTGAAATTGTTGTGTCTTAGTGTAATAGCATTTTGCAGCACCAAGAACAACTACCAAATTCAATAACTTACTATATACTAAGCTCTGTAATGTTCCAAACACAAAATGTTTCCTCGAGGAAAAAAATAGCACGACAAAATGTTTCCTCGAGGAAAAAAATAGCACAACAATGGCTGGAACCATCGAAGCAGAACTTAGAGGTAGAGCCTCTGTTACAGAGTGTTAGCAGCAAAGCCATGTTCCTAGGAAAACCCAGTGGGAACATGAGATGAAACTAATATGACAGATAATTGGTGTTTTTCAGCAAAGATCCATTCTGACATATCTGATAGGAAATTAGTCATTCAATAGATGAGTGTAAGAGTGACAATGGCAGATATTAAATGAGAGTGGTAACCGTATTTTCCCCTAGTTTTGAACCCTAGAAAAAAGGAAGATATAACAGATAAACACTCACATTCCTGTGACCAACCAACTCCAAAAGGTGGCCATCATCACTGCTGGATTTTTGTAGTTGAAGGGACCACTGAGCATCTAGCAGCAACCACTCTTTCCCTACTAACTCAGCAAGAGAATGTACCTCGCCAGACTTGCTTATGCCAATTACGTCCTTCTGCAATGTAGAATCATTTTTCCCCTTTGATTTCGTCGAGTCCCTACAGTGGAACCATGATGTTCAACAGAATTTCAAGCAGCAAGGAGAAAAGGTAATGACAGTTTCCTAACTTCTCATACTTCCACATGTTTGGTGAAATTATCGGTTTTGCTTAAAACTTTCACCAAGAAACAAAGGTCCTCGCACATTTGCAATATAAGACAGGTCCCCCAATACTGAATTAGGTTCATCAAAGAATTCATAAAAGGATTAAACCCAAGTTCGTTTAAAAGAGAAAAAAGCTTTCTGAAGAATTTGATTGTGACACCAAAGTCGCAAATATGTCAGATGAAGCCACAAGAAATCATTATCATGAAACCGCAGTTAATCACAAATACAAGAGGAAAAAAAAAGCAGATAGTGCATAGATAACAGGCACATTTATGTTAAAGTCCCTAACTAGAACTGCATCAACAGCATAAAACGATTAACATTAAGTACCTCATTTGCAGGCTAATGACCTCATCACCAGCATCATCGATGACACCAGTCCAATTCTTAGCATACTGAATCCTCCCAGGAAGAGGGAAAAAGCAAGAAGTTTTGGAGAATGCTCGAGAACGAACAAAGTGAAAGACATATGGTGCTGCCATAGGCGTTGTAACTGAGATTGCTACTCGTAAATAGATTGGCTTTAGTGTTTCCATTTTAGAGTTTGGAACAACTTCCACCCATTTTTCCATTGTAAGTTTTGAAGTTGGGCAAATTAAATCTTCTAAAGAGACTTTAGCAGAACCCATAGGTTTCACAGAATTTAGAATAGGCAAACCAGAAGATGAGTAGGACATGAGATCAAGAAGAAGATGACCATTAGGTTCACACTGGAAAGTAGCAACCTGTTTTTCCCCACTGATAGACAAAATAGTACGTTTCCTCTTTGCATTGAATATTTTATCAGGCTGAGTTTTGCTAAATGAGATGAAGAAGCTTCCCTTGCGCCCTTCTGGTAAGTTTCTGATATCTACAAACTCTAACATAACCTGTAAATAATTAAAGAAGTTAATAAAAGTTCCAAATTACTGTAAGAGTGACTAATTTGAATATAAAACCACTTCAACAAGAAACATGGAAGCCGTGTAATTGTAAGCAATAAGTAGTTTCTGTTAACTGATCAGTGATCTAGAAATCTAGGCTACGCATTGAAGTTTTTGTAACAGAGAGCAGCAACACTCAAGATAGGCAAGGGTACAGTTAAATGCATTGACACCATACCCACATTCCAAAAAACGAGACAGATAATGATTGTTTTAGATGTCATCGTAGGGGTTAAAGTTGTAATAACTTTCTACACTGGATGTAAATCTTTATATATATTGTGAAATGGCTCCTATGATCTCTAGCTTTACCAACATACTGATGAACAACAACGATCATTCTTAACATACATATATTAGGTTTCAGCACATACTCCAGATTTCTCATCCTTGTACTGATTACTTCAGATGTAAAACTGGAAACGGAAATCATAATATGTAAGCATCTCAAATATATCAATAGTATCAAATCAAATTATAAACGATCTCGAGAAGACAAAAACAAAAGTAGAAAGATGCAGAGAATTACTTCCACAGCTTCCATCCCAGGATAATGCATTATCTTTTGGTGCTCGGGCAAAGTATCTTCCTTCTTGCTTACTGTGCTGGAGAAGAAATGAGTATTCCTAAGAGGAGATGGTGCACTTCCTCTATACATTGCACCTGCCCTCCAATATCTTGAACCATATGTTTCCTCCCACTGTTTTGTAGTTCGAGAAAACCCTGTATCCAACTTTTTCCCTTTCGTTCGGTCTGAGTCAGTATCATCATGTTCTAACACCTTACCCATAATGACAACAAGGTCTTTGCTATAAGAAGCAGGATGTAACTGGTGAGTGTGCCAGATAAGGTCTATGTCATAAGTTGGAACAGTAAAGCTCTTAATCGATCTTTCTTTGTTTCTCCGGATCAGATGTAAGAAGCCCTTGTATCGAGCCACAGCACCTTCAAGATAGAGATCATTGTTCATGTGTGGTCTAGACACCTGCAAGAAAGAATAACGCAAAATTAAAAATAACACATCTTACTTGTATAGATCTCCTTATCAAATTTCAAATAAAAGGAATCATGCTTGAAGCAACGATATAAAGAAAAAGGAATTCTATGTCGCTGCTTAACGGAGTAGATAATAAAATGAATGCCACTAAAATCACGCATGGATAATATGATTTTAAAAACAATTGGCAGGAAAACAGCTGAAGTTTTTTCTCCGACCTCCAAGACATATATTAACCATAAGGATGGGATGACAGGCAAAAGGAATGCCCCCTAACCTTTCCAGCTCTGGATTTCCCTATTAAGCACTTTCGTAATGTGTGCTAAACCATTCTGTTCATATTGTTCGGCATAAACCAAATGGTTCTCAAGCTTTCAAATAAAAAAATGAAGCTAGTGAACTCTACAAGTCTGACTGCTGATATCCTGTGCTAGACTCAAAACAAAAGTGTTAGCATCCTCTTGCTCACCTGGTAGAAAAAAGGGCATTGCCTCTTAACAGCAGAGACTAGATCATAATCATTGCATTGTTCAACCTGTATAGGTTTCACATGGATATCTTCAAAAAGAGCTCTTTCTGAGTCCAAATCATAAGGTTCATTTGGATAAAAATGTTGCCAGAGCTCTTCAGTATCCTGTTTTGATTCCGCTTTCACAGAAGATACAACATCATGGTTGTCAAGAATTCTCCCATATAATTTCTTGCAGTCAGTCTTGTATCTAACCTGGAAAAGAATGCAGAAGAGGCATTTAAGTGTACCTAAAATCTTTTAGCCACAGAAGTTATATAACAAATGTTTCACTAGTTGAGGCACTTACAGGATTGAGCCTGTGACAATGCCAAATCCATTCACAATCCAAAGGAACAACCAAAGGTCCTTCAAAGAAGGGGGACTCAGAGTGTTTTGCCAACAGCGGTAGCCAACATGAGTAGTACCTGAAATTGCAATTTTATAATACATGTTCTCTAAATAGAAAAAGGATAAAGTGAGCCACGCCAAGTTCCCTAGATGCAGAAAGAATCTCAAATCCTTTTTGAAGTTCACACAACATAACAAATCGACAATAGGCAAATATATAAGATAAGCAAGTGTGGGAAAAATCTAAAAATGATAGTAACTATCATAGTGTCATATACCATAATACTCTAAAGAAACGAAACATTAACATGTAATATTATCTCAGACCAGAAGAAAATAAAAACGACTTATAACAGTGTGGAACTACCTTTGATGAAGGGGGTTCAATTGATCCCCTTTGCCGAAAAATTGCATTGTGCAAAAGGGTTAAAAATAATTTTTTCGTATGTATATAAACTATTGAATCATAGGTTCAAATCTTAAGTGTGATATTTCTACATTTTAAAATCCCCTTACTCAAATTCCAGGCATTGCTATTGACTTATATAAAGTAAACATTCCAAATAATCAGTTATCATAGTCAGAAAACAAGTAACCAGGGAGAACGACATACAAATTACGTATTACCTATGAATGGCCTTATCCAGACCACGTCCTTCATACAGCCAACGGTTCCTATCAACGGTGGCAAGAAAGTTGAGCTGCTCTTTAGCTGCAGCAACAAGGTCCACATTTATCACAATCTTCTGTGCTTCATTCCACTCAAACTGTTGCTCCATCTCCATTCTTTCTTCGCTAATATCCATTCTATTGCCAAATCGAAGCACAAAGAAGTATCAAAATCAAAAGGATTAAGTATAACAAATACAGAACAAAGTTTTGGATTAATTCATCAAAGAATTCAAATTCTAGCGCATAAATTCAAATTATTAGAAACTCGGTTACTTTTCCTAGTGTTTCTCCATTTCTTTTAAGGATATCTTAAAATAATTTTACAAGATAAAATGATTGCTATATTACGTGGATCACTCTTTCACGCTGCACTAATATTAATTTCACAGCTGTTGAACATCCAGATGAACTCATAGAAACGTTCAGTGACAAAATCTCAAAAATGAAAACAGCTCGCGAAAAATTTCACAAATAAACAGAAGGAAAAAGAGAGACATTTTAACAAAATTAGCAAAAAGGAAAAGAAAAAAGCGTATAATCGCTTAATATGACGAAGAGCTTAGGAAGAATCTCAAGTAGCAAATAGACAAACTAAGGATTCAAATAGAAAACAGTAACTGAGGCAGTTTATACTCTAAAGTAAATCGGAAAGAGAGATAAACAACGACAGAAGAAAGAGAAAAGTTTAAGTCTACTTACTGACCGGAAAACGGAAGAGACGACGATCGCCGGAGAACTCCACCGGAGATGGCGAGTTCGTAATTTTGTTACTAAAGTTTCACGTCTTTTGTGATGTGGAATTTGGAAATGCAAGATGTTTTACTGAGCAATTTGGATGATCGTTCAGGTTTGAAGTTAGAATATTTATATGCGACGAAGTCAGTGCGATGAAGTGTACGATATCAGTTGATTATGACTTGATAGTGACGTACTGACGTGGCCAAGTACAATATATATTGTGTTCGGACAAAACTGCCCTTTACAAACCAAGCAGAAATTTCTTCGGAGGATATAGGAAAAGTTTGACAATGACCTCTTTAGATATTTATTGATTCCTATTACTTGGTACTGAACAACATGGCACTGAACAACAGGGGCAGATATAACTTTGAACGCGTGTAAAAAATTATTAAAATAATAATTATGAATTAATAACTTTAAAATATAATTAATTTAATATTAAAAAACTTAAAAGTCGAACCTATAAAGTTTAAATCCTAGATCTGTCTCCTCTGAATAATAAAGAAATAGCAAAACGATGTGGAAACAATACAAACCAAAAGAAAACTTACGCGAGCATTCCTGAACTATGTTCAAAACTAATAATATGCATGAAATGCGTTATCTTTCATAGTTTTTAGGCCTTTATGGCTTTTTATAATGTTGAATTTAAGAAATGTATTGTTTAATTAAAGTCAACTTAAATAAAATACAAAGAGAACATCAATACCAGAATAAATTAAAGTTCATAATTTAACCTTGAGAAACTGTATACATATACTAGTAAATTTTAGTGGATAATCTCGATGGTAAATCATGCTAATTAATTGCTTATTGTTAAACTATTTCTATTTATGGATGATCATTATTAATTACTGTTTTTCTTTAATTTGACATGCCTTCACCCAACACGGAAGTAAGGCCCACACTTAACGTCATTAGCATTATCCAAGTATTATATTATTAGTACTACTTTCTGGGAGAGAGTACTCCCAAGTTAGTGAAAGTATAAGAAAGAAGCAAATACGAAAAGTAAAGCACAAGGCTCATTTTGTATGTTTGTACTACATTGTGTATTGTGTAGTACAACCACAACACTCGCTCACGTAAATGACTGCACAAGCAAAATAATAGTGAAGAGTTTGTTTTGTTCCGTGGCCGGCCTTCACTCCATACACGAAATAAGCATGTTTCCAAAAAATTGTGAGTCATCTTATGTCAACCTCCTCTACTAGTTTCACAAATTCAAGAATCAAGAGAAGATCGCACTATAATTTCTTATTAAGGCATGTATGGCAGCAGCTGTAATCCTAATTAAGTCCAGGGATCAATGAGCTAACCATTGATCAAATGGAAAATGGAGTCACGAGTCTTTAGTTACCAATCGCTTCCCAATTTATCTACCTAATTACAAGTTCGTTTAGGTTTTGCTCCTAATGTTATGCGTAAGATCCGATATATATAATTTTATTAGAACATAAGAGTCAAAATTAAATTAAATCTTTAATATTCAACCGAGAGGCATATAATTCAAGACTCTAGAAGAGAGATTAGAATGATTGGTTTTTCACTTAGTTTCACCCTTCCTTTCGTCAGGATATAACGACTCCACGTGAAATGTTTAAAGAAACTAATTGGTGGGCTGTCCCATTGGTCGGCTGATATATCCCATAGCTCAGCTGATTTCTTCATTTTCTGGGCCACTTAACTACATTTCTCATCTTTTGGAATGTGTCGATTAGTTCACCAATACTAACGCACATGTTGTATTCCTCCAATTTTGGGAGTCCATGCTTCTCGTACAATATATTAGGTATAGTGATCTTCTCACGATTGAATCTCCCCATGTATTCCCAGACGCCCCCTTCAAATTTTTGAATCTTTGTTTATGAACTATTATCAAGATTTTATTATTATTCTCGCCTTTTAATCATAAGTACCTAGAACTTTTAAATGGACAATCATGACTTTTGAAAGAAATGATTGCACCTTATCTTTCTTTAACGAAATAAAATTGGCCAGTTAATTATTGTAAAATAATACTTAGCAAAATATCGTTCATTTTTTTTATTCTTTTAAAATATAGTTCACATTAGATAAAATAGTCATTGTCATCTTATTATTTCTCTAATTTTTAGGACTTTTAAATTAACTAAAATTATATTTTAACTATTAAATTTTTTCTTATTCGAATTATATAAGAACTACAAATATTTAGGAGTGTAAATCTTTCTATAACTACAATCACTACAAAAAAAAAAGGCTCATTTTGTGTTTTTTTTTTTTGTTAATTTGTGGCAGTTTTCAACCTCCACAAAATGAATTGTGGCGATTTTAAAAAATGTCGTAGTTATGTTTGCCACGAGCATTTTTGTGGCAGTTTTCAAAAACCTCCATGACGACCGTCACAAAATAAACTTTTAATTTGTGGCGGTTTTTAAAGGCAATTAGTGGTAGTTTGTAACCCCAATAATATGATCTTAATGTTTTAAAAAAATTATTTGTGGGGATTTATAACCCCCCACAATTTGAACTCAATCGTTAAAAAATATATTTAATATTGGCAGTTTATAAATGCCGCAATACCTATTTCAAGATTTTAATTTTAGGATTCAATAAATAATTTTACTAAATAACTCATACAACAAAAATCAAATTCCTTTAAAATATCTATTGTATGTTTGTAACAAACATTACAAATCAAATTGAAATAAAACTAAAGTTATATAAACACATAAAGTATATAATAATTTTAATATTAGACAATCTAGGGTAGTTCCTCAATGAACAAATATAGAAAAATCCAAAGTACTTGCTTGGTGATTTGTATTGCCGTCACTTGATGATACTCTTACACCTATGGGTGATGCAGACTCGCTCTTCACATCATTATGCTGAAACAATTAAACAAAAACATTCGATGAAGAAGTTATAAACGAGTTGCATATTCTCACAATAGCATTATACAGACATTGTTGGACAAATCCAGTTACATAAATAAACGAAAGCTCCAAATCTTCTAACAAACAAATATGTCACTTGGTTTAACAAGTAACAACATTAAACAGAAGTTGCTAGATACTCTCACATGAATAAGAACTAAAGTACAGAGCTGTTTCCTCGTATATCATCACAAAACATACAAATTATTCTACTTGACGGCATAAATTCTAGCTATATATTCATGAAAAATATCACATATATAACTATTAAAGTATAAGTCAAGCTCCATAGGTTTTCTAACATTAGAATTAAAAAAATAAAGTATAAGCTTCAATCTAGCTCCATGATTAAGAGAAGTTAAACTTGCACCAAAGTTGACCGCTAACAACACTGGAACACTGAAGCAGAAGAAATGAACAGATAAAATAGGAGGGGGAATAATAATTAGTTAAACAAACAAACGAGTATCAAAATCTTCTGGTGCTAACTTCAAGCAAAAGAAGCAAAAAAAAAGTGCCAAAACTTTAACAAAAAATATAGAATTTGTATACTACCAGCTTACTTGAATATCTCGTTTCTTGAGGGACTTTATCAAATCTTCTAAGGCATGAATTCCACTAGAATCTGTATTAGTAATAAATGCAAAAGAATATGAAACAAAGTACTCTTAGGGATCGTTTGGTATGAGGTATAAGAAGGTATAAGGGTGGTATAAAAATTCAATACCACTTTAATACTTTGTTTGGTTAGCTAACCAGGTATAAGTTATCCCGGTGTTAATTTTAACACTAAGATAACTTATACCTTATAGAAGGTGGGGTAATTAGCACAGGTATAACTTATATCTTCTTCTTAGAAATTATGCAATTGTCATTCTTAATACAACATATCAAACAATGAATAAACAACAATCCCAACATAACTAATCACAACATAACTTATCCCAATATAACTTATACCGGCATAACTTATACCGGTATAAATCGTATTCCAACCAAACGACCCCTTAGTTACTTAACATAACCTAGGGAAAAAAAGCGCAAGGATTGAAAATGTTGGGAGTAACTTACATGACATCTCAATAATTGAATTCTAGAATTTTTGTTTGATTAGTTTCTTTAAGTTGTTCTTCTTTATGGGTTAACCATTTCAGTATCCATTAAAACTTTAGAAAAATAATATTGTTAAGCTAATTAAATAATTACTATATGCCCTTCATATTATTTGAGTTGGAAAAATTAATAGCAGGATCACCTATCACCATAAGAGGAAAAATTGATAACATGATCAACTAGCCAGGGACCTTTGTTGTTTCTGAAAATTATTGTATTTTGCAGTAAGCAGTAGTCTTAGGGATAAGAAAAATCAATATGCAATTAATTTATTAAGAAAACCACCACTGATTTATATAAATTGTGAGTTTAGACTTGTAAATAAAGTTTTCACATAAGCCAATTGTGTTAATTGTTCGCAAGGCTACCATTTCTTTGTAACTTCAACTGGTGTTCAATGTTGCAAATGTTCTTCCAATAAATGCAGTTTCCTATAATCCAAGAAGTTTGTTATATAAAAAGTAAGCCTTCTACAAAACAAACACTTGGTCAAGAGACAAGTTAAGAAGCATAACTTACCTACAGAGTTTATTTTGGAATGTGTCAATTAGTTCACCAATACTATCGCAGATGTATTCCTCCAATTTAGGGGGTCCATGCTTCTCGTACAATATATAAGGTACGTAAAACCCTTCTTAGTGAAGGTTACCCGCTACACCAGGTCGGGAGCAATGATATTTAAGGCATGACAATCACAGTCCTCCTTCACAGCAGGAATACTGGAAAGACGAATAGAAGAAGGATATTTACCAACAGCCCAAGTTCGAGGATTTGAAGTGGGGAACTTCTCTTCTAAATCATTGGCAGTGTTTAGATGTTTAGGTATGATTGTGCTCACTGTGGAATAATTAGTATCAACATCAACTTCCTGATCTTTGCTCCTCTTTCGGCCCTCCACCGAAAAGAAAATCAGAATTCTTGGAAGACTTAGTAGGGGAAGCCATAGTAATAAGGAGATATAGAGTTTTTTAAAGAAGATCAAAGAGAGATGAAAGGAGGAGGGAGTTAAGTGCAAAGGGAATAAGAAAGCTTATGAAGTTGTTAGAAGTGAAAGAAGAAGAATGAG